AAGACATTCCACTGCTAGATGAAAAAACTTACAAGTGGAGACTCGGGCTTGAGTCCAGTTTAAAGAGTAGGTGTCCAGAAACACTGGAGGCTGAGAGGGCAGTGATTTTATAAGACAGCTGGATAGGAAGGAGCTTGGGGAGACTTGAATTTTGACCCAGCCTCCAACTATTGCTCAGTTTCTTCCTCTGTAAAATGAAAGAACTGGGGCCGGTCATGGTGGCTCATGCCTCTAATCCCAGCACTTTGGGAGGCCGAGGTGGGTGGATCACCTGAAGTCTGGAGTTCAAGACCAGCTGACCAACATGGTGAAACCCCATCTCTACTAAAAATACAAAAAATTAGCCAGGCATGGTGGCACATGCCTGTAATCCCAGCTACTTGGGAGGCTGAGGTAGGAGAATCGCTGAACCTGGGAAGTGGAGGTTGCAGTGAGCTGAGATCGTGCCATTGCACTCCAGCCTGGGCAGAAAGAGCAAAACTCCATCTCAAAAAAAAAAAAAAGAGAAAGAACTGGTCTAGGTTAGAAGATTTCTGTGGATCTTTTCAGCATGCATGCTCTATTATTTCTTCCCATCACCCTTTCCACAACTGAATAAAAAGATTTCCTCATTAGTTTGAGGACTCATTTACAGGCATCTGAGGAAACCGAGGCACAAAGCAAAGTGGTAAGGCAGAGAGGGGAATATTTGTCCCAAGTCATGCATCAAAAGTGCTGTCTACTTCCTTGTTCTCTTAGCACCCTTCTTTGCATTCTGGGGTTGATTTGTTTAGGTCAGGGGTTTGATCTATACTGTAGGACATCAATTCAATCCAGTGTTTGGATATGCCATTTTTCTGTTACACAAAGAAAAAAAAATCTCTCAACAGATAACTGAGGTTGGCTTAGAATTCAGAAGTTGGCCCTATGCCCAGCCTTTGAGCACATAGCGGTTTCCAGAGACTGAAAACTGAGTTACTGGATGCTGAATTCAAACCTCAGGGTTTTCTAAATGTCTTTTTGCTTTAACAAATACTGCTGAGAATGGAAAATCAGATCCTTTCCTTTAAGAATCTGCACGTAAACTTTGCAACCCAATCCCTGCATTAAACATAGCCTGGCAGGTTATCCAACCACAGTACATGGGTATTTCACTTCAATACATTTTGTCTTCGGAATTCAGAAATGATTTTGTCTCAGTTCTTCTGGGACATTCTTAATGCTTAATCCTTAGCACAGAAATAATTGCTGCTGACACTTCTCTTTCACTCTTGGTAGTGTTTTAAACTGCAAAAACAGCAACAACAAAAGCTAGGGTAAACTCTCTATATATAACCAGTATATGTACCATACTGGTATATAACTATATATACTCTAACAAGTATAATTTTTATTCATTAACTTGGAATAGTTAATGAATTAACTTGGAGTAGTTTCAACCTCAAAAATATTGTATTTTTCTATATCAACTGAGAGCCTTGGAAATAACCTCTCAAGTTACATAAAATCACCAGATTGGGAGTATAGAAAAATTAGCAGGAACTGCCAAAATTCTTGTTTTAAAAAGCAAACATAAAGGCTGGGCATGGTAGCTCGTGCTTGCAATCCCAACACTTGGGGAGGCCAAGCAGGGAGAATCACTTCAGGCCAAGAGATCAAGACCAGTTTGGCAAGATAGCAAGACCCCGTCTCTACCAACAAAACAAAACAAAAAACCCTATCCACACATGGTGGTGCACACCCATAGTCCCAACTACTTGGTAGGCTCAGGCAGGAGAATAACTTGAGCCAGGGGTTTGAGGTTAGAGTGAGCTATGATAGAGCCACTGCACTCTAGCCTGGGTGACAGAGCAAGGCCCTGTCTCTTAAAAAGCAAACATTTCACTGGGTTTTAGAGAAGTCACTAGAGAAAAGAACGATAGAACGCCAGTCTTCAAAATATCAAACTAAACTACAAAATTAACTGTTCATAACTCACCTGAGAAAATAGAACTTTTTCTGATTTGTCTTTTATCTAGGCTGTCACAATCCTAGTTAATACTTAGAGCCAAAAGTGGAGCCTATTTTCTCTAGTTGGTCTTAAAATAAAATAAATAATAAGCATAAACACTTAGTATTTGTCCAGCAATTGTTCCACACCAGGCACAATGATAAATAATGTTACATGGTACTCTTAATCCTTCCAACAACCCTATGGAAGTAGGTACTATTTTTATCATCATTTTACAGATTAGGAAACTAAAGTTCAAAGAGGCAAAGTAACTTGTCCAAGATCAGAGCCAATGATTCAAATAGAGAGAGGTCTATTAAACTTTTGAACTCAGACTGTTAACCACCATGTACTGTGACAATTAGTAAAACCTCAATTAGCAATGGGCTTGGTCTATGTCTTGGTATAATAGATAAAGGAAGTGGTAGGGACAACACAGCATAGTGGGAAAAAAGTTGAATAAATAATCAAAACAACTGTGTTCTAGTCCTGGATTTGCTACCTACTAAATTTATTAATACAATATTGGCTAAGCCACTAGACGTTAGTTTTCTTGTGTTTTAACTAATTTCTCAAGAGTTAACAGTATAATACAAATCTATTTCAAAGCATTGTGTGTGAGAGAATCAAATGAGATATGGTTTGTATGAGACTTCCTGCTCTGACAAAGTTGTGACAATGACTATGGTGAAAAGACAGTGAAGGAGACCAGCATTGGGGAGTGGGTTTGGCCAGGTGCTTTGGCCAGAAAGCTTCGTGTGCTCTCATTTGAGAATGTTACCTGAAAGACCAGCACAGGGATTCTGACCTCCTACTCCTGTCTCCATCTGAGCTACCCAAAGAAAGAGATTACTGTTATGAGAACATGCATGGATAGCAGGGAGCATGCTGAGCTCTGAAATCAAAGAGCAAGGTCTGTCCTATTTCCACCAATAAGCTTGGACTCCAATGACTCTGGACTATGAACAAAAGGAAAACATTTGGTTCTGTCAGCATGGACCCACAGAATACTGGACAACTATGCTATTCCCAAGAGAGATAATAATTATTGAAATGATCATTTATTGTTAAATTTAATACATACATATATTGTACATTGTCACACTATTTCAAGCTTTTTATATGCAAGCCACATACTTAAGGACAAGCACCAAATTACCTCATTCAGTCACTGTTAACAAGATGTCTTGCAAATACCTCCACCCACAAAATGCTTCTCTTCTACATGGCTCTCTCTCACAGTCATGGGGTCTCAAAGTTTCACACAGGGTGACAATGGATTTGGGGGTCACGCAGGGCCTCAGAGTCACTCCCTATTCCACACACCTTCTTCTCATGTCACCCTAGAATCAGTATTACTATCACATACATACACTCATGCAAAGTTTTAAAAGCAGTGTGCTGTGCTTTCTTAGCTCCATAAGGTCACATGATATAAACACAATATTAATATAACCAAATAGTGACGTGGTCACAACCACTCTTTCTCACAGTATTGTAGCCTTCTCGATGTCCCAAGCAGAGAAGGCACAGCACATATTCATACAGATGGTATCATATGCAATCATTTATCTTTCATAGTTGGACAGTGACAACTATGTCCAACATAGTTGGACATGACTATAGCGCCTCAGCATCCCAAGCCTAATAATCTTCTATGCCAGTGTGCAGCATTAGAATTTGTTGATTGTATAGCAAAACAATATTAGCTGAGCATCTGCTGCTGTGTGCTACACTCAGTATCTTCTGCAGCCAGTATGTTTTTTCACGGTGATTTTCTGATGTCAAATACCTTGACACACATATAACATCTCAGTTATCGTTTATTTAGTATTTAGAGAGCTTCTACATATGTAAAGAGAAGGAAGAACTGAAGACATAGAGGGCGGTGGGCATCTCTGATGAATAGTCATGGTGCTACAGACCCAAACTCCTTGAGGGCAGAGTTGGCTTGTGTTCACCATTTTATCCCCTGTGCCTGGAACACTGCCTGGCTCTTAGTAGGCACTCAAAAAAATTATGTGTTGTATGAATTAATGAACTGAAGCATTATTCATATAGTGACCTGTACAGACTATGTACACATACAGACTATGATACTCACAGTGTCGTGCCCACCCAGTCCCAATGACATGTAAATTTCACACATGGTGGAAGACTGTCACCTAACTCCTCCCAGTAAACATCAGCTCACTGAGTCATGTGGTGTTTGACGATCACCCCTTGAAAGGTCAAGACTTGTGTAGCTACAGTGTCACCATATTCCCTCCATCTCACTCTCACAGTGTCTCTGTCACAGCACTGTCCACTGTGTCTGTGTCAGTGTGACACAGGGCCTGGGGCCCACACAGCTTCGCACAGCACCTTGTGAGGTGTCACCCCACCCCGCTCTTCCACGGTGTATCAACTTTGCTGTGTGATGCTGGATCTGGGGGTGCCACTGTGATGGAGTACACAGTGTGACCCAATCCTCGCTAACACCTCATGCCATGGAGTGTCGGGGTCCCACACAGGGTGACAATGGGTCTAGGGGGTAACACTGTTCCTCAGAGCCACACCCCAAATCACGCCACGGTGTCTTAGTCGCACGATGCGACAGTGGGTCTGAGGTCCCATACAGCATGACAATGTCACACTCAACCTGAGTCTCCCCTCACCCTGCGGCACAGTCTCTCACTGAGGCCCCACGGTCGCTCCCACCCACCGTGCCCTCACCTAGTCAGGTCCCTCAGCCGCGCCTCCTCCTCGCGCAGGTACCGCCGCAGCAGCCCCAGGAGCTGGCGCTCCGGCGCCAGGGCGCGAGCCACGCTGGTCAGAGCCGAGAACGTGTCGCCCCGCGCCGCAGCCCTTTCTGGGTCTCCTGTCCCGAGGACCAGCACCGCCAGCAGCGCCGCCAGCCGCGCCTGGGGACCCATCGCCTGTGCTCGCGCGCTTTCCCTCAGACAGTCCTAGCCGCGGCGCCAGACGCTCCCGCCTTGGCCCGCCCCGCCCCTGCCCCCGCTCCCGCCCTCTCCCGGCTCAGGCCCCGCCCTCTGGCCCCGGCCCGTTGCCTCAGCAGCCCAGTCCCGCCCCACGCCAAGGCTGCTGAGGCGACGGTCAGGGGCCAGAGGAAGACCCCTGACTCCTTCCTTGCACGCGTCCTGCTTCCGTGTTTCGACGCCTCGCCTTGCTCTCCTCAGCTCCTCGGAATGCGTGGGGGCTTCTTACTACCTCAGTGTCCGTCGCCCTCCACTAAATCGCGACTCTGGGAAGGTATTTCCACTATGCCCATCACACTAGGGGAAACTGAGGCGGGGGCTGGGTGAGCGATGAATTCACAGGTCTAAGGTCTTGACCATCCCCAAATAGTAACACTATGGTGACGGCATCCCCAAAATATCCGCCCCTCTGGACCATGGAGTGGGAATACACAAACACCACTGGATCCCCACGGGGACCTCCAAGAGAGTCAATTATGAGTATGGGAATAGCTGTGCAGGCAAAGAGCGTCAAGAGGGTAGCAGGGAGGAAAACCCTCACAGAGAGTGTGACATCTGAGCCATCTGAAGGATGAGTAGGACTTTGTCAGGATCTAGGACTTACAGAACCTGAAACTCTGGGGTCCTGAAGTCACTGCTTTACACAATATACCTAGAGTCACTTAAGCAAACAAAAATATTGTTATCATTATAACCTATTGGGCTGCTTACTCTATTCCCCCCACCCCATGCATTTCCCAGGCAATGTTCATTCATTCAACAAATATTTATTAGAACCCATGTTACCGTGCTGAGTACACAGAGAAATAGCAAATGCAATCCTGACTCAAAGGAGGAGACAGATATGTAAACAAGCAATCACGGTAAAGTACTGTCAGGGTAACTGAGGGTTGTGCAATGTGCTATGGCAACAATGAAGAAGGGACCCCCATGTAGGGGGTGAAGAGGGCTTCGCAGAGGAGGCGATGTGTGCTGGTTCAAAAGGATGAAAATAATTAGAAGTCGACAGGCAAGGAAGGGATAGGCTTTCCTGGCAGAAGGTACCTGTGCATGACAAGGTTTGGAGGTGGTGGAAAACAGTTTGAGTTCCAGAAATGATGAAAAGTTCCTTGTGTTTGAAACTATCAGATTGTGAAGGGTCTTTGCATGTCATACTAAGAAATTTAGGTGCTCATCCTATATGAAAATCCAGTGAAAGTTTTTAAGGTGACAATAATTGTAATAACAATGGCAGCAGTAAACAGTAGTGAATACTTACCGAGTGTTTCCTGTGCGGCAGGCACCATCCAGAGTATTTTTACGTGTATTAACTCATTTACTCTCTGTCCAGAGTATTTTGCATGCATTAACTCATTTAATTCTCATGCTGACCCTATAGCCTAGGTAGTATTAGTATTCGTGTAGTATTATTGGCCCTACTTTGCTGATGAGAAGACTGAGTTGTAGGGACAATCAATAACCTATTCAATGTTTAATCACTTGTGGATTACATTTGAGGTGTGCTGGTAAACCAGCTCTCCAGGAAAACATAAAAGTTCTGATTTGTGGCATTTGCCAATTTCTGTGGTGTCAATCCTCCCGCAGTGGCTGATTTCAATATGCGAAGGTGTCATCACTGACTGTGGCTAGATAAAGATGCTAACAGCTCTTGTGAGCTGGGGTGAGCTAGCTCCAGCACACCACTGTGTAGACGTGGAGATGTACCACACAGATCCCCCTTCAAGGAAGGTCTTGTTGCACAGCTGCAGGGAATGTGATCAGAAGAGTCTTTAGTGGTCAGCTGCTTTAGGGTCTGTCTTACAGCAGAGAGCAGTCTCACCTAGGGAAATTTCCTTCCTGGGGCAGCCCTAATCCAGCAACGGAGCAAGGTAAAGGATTCAAGGCCTAGCAATTTTGGCCCATCACAAGACAATTCTTACAAGCAATACTAGCTCCAGTGTGCCTGCTACCTTGATCAAAGCTTCATCAAGCCTCTTTGACTTCTTCCTCTACCTTTTCCTGCTTCCTTTCCCTTTCGTAGATGCTGATCCCTAATAAACATCTTGCACCTGAAACTCTATCTGAGTCTCTGTTTCTAGGGAACCCAATCTGTAACAAAAATTCAATCAACATACATAGTAAGCAGTAGAGAAAAGGGACTTGAACCCAGGTCATGTGGATCCTGATTCCATATTCTTAATCACTACCAGAGGCAGATTTACCTAGAAGGTTTTTGAAGCTTAAGCTTCAAGGCTCCTAGCTTGCACATACCCTTTTCAACTGAGTAGCCTTCTTATAGAAGGTGTTCTCACCACCTTCTATAGGGACTGTGAAGAAGAAGATTAGGGACTGTGGTAGGCAGAATCCTGTCCTCCCTCCAAAGATGTGCATGTCTTGATTCCCAAACCCATGATTGTGTTACATTATATGGCACAAGAGACTTTACAGATGTGATTAAGTTAAGGATCTTGACACTGGAGGATTATGCTGGTTTATCTTGGTAGTCTCAATGCAATCATGAGGGTCCTTAAAAGTCATAGAAAGAGATAGGACAATGGAAGCAAAGTCAGAAAGATTCAAAGATATTTAACACTATATTGCTGACTTTAAAGATGGAAGAAGAGGCCACCAGTCTAGGATTGTGAACAGCTTCTAGAAGCTGGAAAGGCAATGAAACAAGGTCTCCTCTAGGGCCTCCAAAAGGAACAAAGATCTGCTGACACCTTGAGTTTAGTCCAGTGAAACCCATTTCAGACTTCTGAACCCCAGGACTATAAGAAAATATATGTATTGTTTTAAGCCACTGTGTTTGTGGTCACTCGTTTCAGCAACAGTAGGAAACTGATAGAGGAACCGAAAGTTATCTGTTTTGTATTAACTCTGTCTCTTTGGCCCCTGTGGGCAGTACTTCTCTTAACAAAATTATCTTAAAACTTTTGAGGGTTTATAAATTTTATTGGAGTACCTATATTTCTTCCCAAGATTTGCCCTTCTCTAACTTGGGCTGAGACTCAGGGTAGTGGTACAATAGTCTTAAAAGTCTTTTAATTTTTCTAGAGATAGGGTCTTGCTCTGTTGCTAGGCTGGAGTGCCGTGGCACGATCACAACTTACTATAGTCTTGAACTCCTGGGCTCAAGTGATCCTCCTGCCTCAGCCTCCTGAGTAGTTGGGACTACAGGCACATGTCACCATGCACAGCTCATTTTTGTATTTTTTTGTAGAGACATGGCTTCACCATATTGCCCAGGCTTGTGTCAAATTCCTGGTCTCAAGTAATCCCCCTACCTTGGCCTCCCAAAGTGCTGGGATTACAGTGTGAGCAACCATGTCCAGCCAGCCCTTAGACTCTTAGAAGCATTTTTTTTCATGATTGAAATATAAGGTACCCCCTTAAGATTCTTAGAGACCTTCTACAAAACCACAATATAACCACCAATATTAGGCAACTAACATTGATAAAATACCTCTAGTCCACATACCTTCTTCAAATTTCCTTGATTATTCCAATTAAACGTGTTGTCAGTCTAGGATCCTATCCAGGACTATTGGTGTGCTTAGTTGTCATATCTCTTTAGTGTTCTTCCATCTGGTACTGTTCTTCAATCTTTCCTTACTCTCTATCTTGACATTTGAAGATAACAGGCCAGTTATTTTTTTGGACTGTCTCTCGATTTGAGTTTGTCTGATGTTTCTTTGTGAGTAGGTGCAACTTTGGCAGAAACACAAAAGGAATAATTATTTGTTCTTCTCAGTGCATCATGTCAGGCACAGTATGTTGCTTTGTCCCATTGCTGGTGGTGTTAACTTTAGTACTTGGTATAACTGATGTATGCCTGGTTCCTCCAGCATAAAGTTAATGAAAAAGTATTTTCTACTTATTAATTAGTAGGTTATTACTACTTATTGATATTCTGTGGTAATATAGAGCTTTCTCTTCTGAGCCAGTTATTAATTAATTCATTTATTTATATCAATATATATGAATTCATACATTTTATTGAATAAATTATAATTAACTATTTATTTTGATGCTTAAATTGTCCTGGAGTTGTCCTGGCCAATACAAGTTGACTAACTCCTTCAGTATAGCTCTTGTGTCCTTTTGATATGTCTCCTTCATTCCCCTCATTCTATGCTTCGTTATTTATAGGCTATTCCAGGTAATCTTATACTTTCTTTCCCAGCTCCAGTCTTAGAATCAGGCATTTCTCCAAGGAGTGCTGGTTCCTTTTAATGGAAATGAGTATTTAGAAACCAAGATTTGGGTGCTGGTGTGCTTACTGTGACTGGGGGATGCTGCTTCTCCCTGGTTGTTTCAGCAGCTTGAGCTAGGAAATTTGTATATAGTTTTTAAACATGTATTCCTAAGTATAGTGTTCTTTATACAATTGAAGCATAATTCATATACTATAAAATTTACCTTTAGTGTACAATTAGTTGGTTTTTAGTATTAATGTTATCACAAGATTGTGAAATCATCACAAATATCTGATTTGGGAGTATTTTCTCTACCTCAAAAAGAAACCCTGTACCCCTCAGGAGGCTGAGGCAAGAGAATCACCTGAACCTGGGAGGTGGAGCTTTCGGTGAACCAAGATCACGCCACTGTACTCCAGCCTGGGTGATAGAGTGAGACTCAATCTCAAAAAAAAAAAAGAAAAGAAAACCCTGTACCCATTAGCAGTCACTCCTTCAATGGCAACCACTAATCTACTTTCCATCTATGTGGATTTTTTTTAATTCTTGGCATTTCATATAAATGGCTTTGTGTGGTTTCTTAATGCTATTGTAAATGAAACATTTTCCTAATTTTATTTTCAGATTGTTCATTGCAAGTGTATGAAAGTACAATTGATTTTTGTATATGGAGCTTAAATTTTGTAACCCTTTAGTCTTGTTTAATGGGTGTATAGTGTTTTTTGTGGATTCTTTATGATTTTACATATAGACAATCATAACATCAGAAAATAGATTACTTCTTCCATTCCAATCTGGATGCTTTTTATTTACTTATTTATTTAGCCAAAATGACTTGGCTAGAATCTCTAGTATAATGTTGAATAGAAGTGGCAAGAGAAGGTATCCTGGTCTTATTTCAGATCTTAGGGGCAAAGCTTTTGGTCTTCTGCCATTAAGTGTGATGTTAGCTGAACATTTTTTGTTAACACCCTAATCAGGTTGAGGAGGTTCCCTTCTGTTCTTAGTTTGTTGAATGTTTTTAATTTGTAGAATACATTTTCTACATTTGCTTAGATGATCTTGTGGTGTTCACTCATATTTTCTTAACATGGTG